GACATAGTAAAGCTATAGGAGGCAGTCTAATAATCTCTGGGAAAAAAACTTATTCATCTATAGAAGAAAATGTCCTGATAAAAAAAATTAAATTGCCAATATGTTATAAAAAGCAATCACTACAAGATTCTAGTTTCTTACAATAAAAAGTAGTTACAGTGCTTTAATAAATGCACTAGCTTATTTGCTGGTTTTGCCATTAAAGTACACCAGGAAAGGTCAAAATATTTCTAACATTCACATAATTGGCAAATAAAAAGTTAAGTGTTTACAACTGTTTTATATTTGCTATTTTTTTCAAATTTGTTTGCCTTTTACATTTTGTGTACCCTCTATTTAGGCTAACATTTTCACCATTTGCAAACAACATTATAAAGGCTTGCATTTATACTTGTCATTTTCATTCAGGTATTTTCATATTTTGTGAACACTTTACTATAAATACAGATATATACAGATATAGATATACAGACAAAGAAATATAGATATATAGATGTAGGAAATATAGGAAACAGGAAATATTTTAATTATTTCATTTATATTAATAAATGTTAATATTTAGACACAAAAATCTTTATTCTGATAAGTTAACTGTTGCATTAAACATCTGCAAAATATTTAGTCATAGATCAAGATTCATCTAGTTTTCTTTCTCAGAGATTTCAACACACCATTAAGGGAAAAATTAATGCTTAATATTAATTAAAAATTAATAGATTGTATTCTAATTCTGGATTTAGCCTGCAGCATGTGCTAGCAGGATCAGGTTAGGTACTTGGATGGGAGACTACCAGACAATCCAGGATTATGGGATAAATTGGGAAATCAAAAACATCCCATAGGAAATCATTTCTGTACTCTTGTTAAAATCCTGCACGGATAATTCCATGAAGTCACAAGGAATTCAAGCCTGATTTGAAAAAGTTATGTTTACAGCTTTAGATTTCCTGAACTGAATATAATGTCCTGAGCTGAATTTACAAGTATTCCTTCAGTTCAGTGGCTGGGTTCACACACTGTAGGAAACCATTACATGATTTAGTGAAGCCTTAGTGTGATTGCCTATGATTCTCTAAACAGCAACAACTGCTAATTCATGCAGGCTGCAGAGTATGAGTTTTAATTCTATTAATCCCTAATTGTAGTAGGAAAACATGTGTACATCTTGTGACAGGACATTTGAACACTGATTGAAAAACTGGTTGTTTTTAATCTTATTTGCCATGTCACTATAACAACCAATGATGCAAATCATTTATTTCTATACTATTTATGTCATATAAGGTAGAATTAAATGAAGCTGAAAAGGTCATAAGAGTAGATTCTCCACAAGAAATTTAATCCTGGTAATGTCAAGATGACTCATTTTTTCCACTAAGTACCACTATTTGCTTTTGAATCATTTAACAGCTTTTTTTTTTTTAAACCCTCTATTTCAAGCTTAATTTCTGAAAAACAGCTGTTATGTTTGAGTAAAGCTGCTTTTCATTATCCAAAACTTGTGTTATAAAAATAGTAATAAAATAATAAAAACTGCCCTTATAATGTAAGTCACCCGTGCTGAGTCTTATGTTAACCAGTACTGCTCAACAATTAAATCCCATTGTTATTTAAGGGGATCAGAAATATATATTACTATTACCATAAATACTGTACCTCGTAAGCTAGGCAAAGACTTTTGGTTGAGTGCAGATTTACCCTAACTCAATGAAACCAACTGAAAATTGTCAGTCATGACTACTTGACGTATCATAAACCTTTTGGGTTCATTCTTATTTTCTCCTCTCATTTGACAGAAGTCAGGGATATGCAGAACATTCCAAATGTGAACCTTTCCATGCATGGAATAGCTGGTTTTGGGTGGTCAATGACCAAAACAAAACATCCACATTTGGAGTGGCTTTGTTCATGCATTGAACAAAACAGTTTTATTCTGGGTAGAAGTAGTCTAGGGGGAAAGAAGACAAGGGGAAAACAACATGGTCATCAGAGGCTGAGAGGAGACGTGGGAGGAAGGGAAGCTGCTGAGAAGACTGGGGAGCTGGTGGGATATGCTGCACTGGGACACAGAAGGGAGGCAGGGGACAGGTCATACCAGAATTAAGATTCCACATTTGTTTGTAGCCCTTAGTACAATGACATTATAGTTCTAGAAAATGCACTGCATAGTTCTTTGACCAACACTGAATATAGTGAGAAGAAATTTTCAGTAGGCTGGATGGCCAACTATTAGATATGGTTTAGTAAATTCTGCACTGAGCAAGGGATTGAACTAGATGATATATAAGGTCTTTTCAGCACATACATTCTATGCTTCTATGCATCATTATATGAATAAATAAGATGTGACTTTCATTTTTGCCCTGAATACAATGAGAAAAATGTACCTGCTGCTCTGTACATTATTTTCGGTTCAAAGAATATGCAAGGGTTTTTATCTTCTATACATGACAACAGCAGTCCTTTGGCTTCAATAGGTCCTCTTGGAACAACCACCTTTAAGAAAATGAATAAACAGATTACAGATTATCTTGGTTAGGAAGAATATCAACAGTAAAAAATATTCTGCCAAGGGATAATTTCCTATTTCAAATAATCCCAATAAGACTTGGTGAAAAGATGTTAAATGAGTGGCAAAGATTTTATCTGGTTAAATAAAGGCATTAAAGAGTTCACAAGCCATATAAGAAAAAGGGAGATTGATGGCACCAAGTTACACTATCAGACTGTTTGACCCAGATCACAGACTGGATCATCGCACCATACAGATGGATTGCATCTATGGAAGGAATAGTGAGTGGGTATGTGGATGTGTATATATCAATCAGCTGCTATTGAAATATGGAGATCAAACATGTCAAAGTCTGTATGATTAAATGGATGCAGAATTTGAATAGGACAACTGACACTCAACAATGGGATTATCAATGAAAATGAATGTCAAATTTAAGGTGATTAATACACTGAGAGAAAACTGGTACAAAATGTTCTTTCATTGGTATATTATTCCAGTGATGATAACTAAAATGTATAATGCATATTGAAAAAAAATATGGAAATGGAAAAATCAAGTTGGAATGTTTTCTCATATCTGGTGGCAAAGTCAAAAAACTAAATTGTACTGGAAGATATCTACTACAGGATGCAACATGTTTTAAATGTTGATTTTTCTTTTCCACCAGTCATTTTTCCATTAATTATTACCAAACATTACATACAAAATACACTGAGCCGGTTTTATATATGATAACTGTTATCAGGATACTTTATACTTCTTACTGGAAATCACATCAACTATTTCATTAGAGGAATGGCAGCTTAAACTATGGGAGCACACATCAATATCAAAAATAACTTCATATATGAAAAAACAAGTCTGACGTTAGTTTCAGTTTAATCCCAGAAACCATTTATGGATTATAATGCTGTACAGGGCTTGCTGACACTTCCAAGGTTTGGGTTTCCTTAAAATAAGTTATTTAAACTCTTTAACCATGGTTATTTACTTCTATTAGTCAGATGGCTTAGCTATTCTTTAACATGATTTCAAGAATAGCTTTGAAAGTATTAAACTGACACAAAATTATATTTGTTCTAATCCAGGTTGATACATAAGGCTAAAAGGGAGATTTGTTTTTCTTCCAAGGGGACTATTTTATATTTTTTTAAAAAAAACATTTTATAGTATATCATTCTGCAAATTTTCCCATGTAACATTTGTATTCTATAATTTCCATGTATCTTTTTCTAAATATAAATATAATACTTTTTATATGAATCCTTTATATTTAAAAAGAACCGCTATAACACTAAAAACCATCTAATAAATTACTATTCTATACCTTCAGTCCTGGACAATGCGCAAAAAAGGCTTCTGGGGACTGAGAGTGATATAATGCGCCATGACCCACACATCCCCATGGCGCTCTTATTGTGAGGCTTCCACAGTTAAAGAGATCTCCAGAACGGTATCGATACTTTGCTGCCTCGTTAACAATCTGAAGAAATATAGAGATATATTTAATAGTGCATGTAGTTATCAAGACACATTTATGCAGTTAAAGACAATTCATGTTCTATTATAGATTATGCAGAACAAGATACATATTCCAAATCTTGAAATGATGGATGCCATCCAACAGGAGTGAAAGGAAACCAATATAATAGGAGGCAGCAGCATGTGTGTACGTTGCCTTGAGTTGTACAAAATAAAGGCAGAATATAGAAATAATAACAATGACAACAACAATATGCAAATTTGAGTGCTACATGAAAAAAAAAAAGATGACAGATGTTCATGATGGCTTTAGAAAAGGCCAAGGAACACAGCACATGATTCTTGGTGCACCCTGGATAATGGAGAAAGCCAAAGAATACCAAAAAGAAGTCAGTGCTTCACTGATTAAAGAAAGCCCTTTGATTGTATCAATCACATCAAACTGTGGAATGTGCTTAGAAAAATGGGAATCTCAGAGCATCTCACTGTCCTTATGTGAAACTATATACAGGTCAGGAAGCCACAGTACAGACAGAACATGGTGAAACAGACTGACTCCAGGCTGGCAAAAGAGTAAGACATGGCTGTATACTCTCTCCTTATTTATTCAATCTATATGTTGAATATATACTAAGGGAGGCTGGATTGGAAAAAGATGAGCATGGTTTTAAAACTGGATGAAGGCCAATGACTTGTGCTATGCTGATGACACTATTCTGATAGCCAGAAATGCAAAGGATCTGCAAGCTCTAGTAACAAAAGTCAAGGAGCATCGTGAAAAAAAGGTACTAAAATTAAATAGAAAGAAAACCAAACTAATAATAACAGGTAGAAAAACCAGCCTTATAATTGATAATGAAGATACTGAAGTGGCGGACAGCTTTTGTCTCTTAGGATCAACCATCACCAGAAAAGGAACAAGCAGTCAAGAAATACATTGCAGACTACTGCTCAGTACAGCAGCCATGAAGGCCTTGGAAAAGATATTCAGATGCCGTGATGTGTCTATACCTACAAAG